GATCTGGCCCACACACTGCAAAGTGACCATATTCAAAAGGTGTGGGCCAGTTCTGGCTCATATATGGCACACAGTTACAGCTGACTACCCACCTTTGCCCCGGCCCGGAAGTGGCCCTCAGAATGCCGCACTCATTTATTGCAGAACGTGCAAAATATTAGTAATAGTTCTTCCTAATAATCAATAAGTGTTGACAAAAGCCATTTCAGAATGAAAACTCCATGTTGATTTTGTAAAAACAGAAAGCTTCACCTTTGTGACAGGTCATTATCTGTAGTCTTTGTGTGTACATCTTCCAGGACATATACTGCTGGTCGTTCCGCAGACCATCTGCCTTTTGTCAAAGAGTATAATATTTTCTGCATTCATAAATACATTTCTTACAATATTTCTGCATTCATTCTAAACAGTGGCGGATGAAAAATTCTTGAGCCAAGCGGAGAGACCACTGAAATAGAGGCTGAATCTTATATCTTCTTTGGAGCACTGTTTCAGTGGGTTTAAAATGTAATTTCTCAGACATTTTATTTTACATCAACGATGACAAAAATGTCTGAAAAATTATACTTATAATTATAATATTATAAGCAGTCTGTGGAATGAAAACAGTTGTGTATGTCCCTAAAACATAGGTGTCAACCCATTCAGTATGTCTTTATAAAATACGTACATTCCTGAGATCAAGCCAACTGTGTATGTGACACTGTTTTGCAATTTAACTTGATCAACAGCTACTTTTTCTGATTCTGTATGCAATAATTACTGAAGTTTTTTTTAGTACACAAATACAAAACTGGATAATCTGCTGTATCACTAATGATTTTAAATGCATGATTTTATTCTATATTATGTTAACATGGACGCTTTCTGGGATTTGCATTGGATCCCAGTTCAGTAAGAGGTGGGTTTAGAAATTTGCTCCATCATGAGCTTACATGGGTATATTATGATCATTTTGCTTCGTTTTGCATACATTCGTTTTTACCAGTGCAGAATCCCTTAAACAAAACAAAAAGCAAAAACATTTAGAATATATTCAGACTGTTTATTGTGTATCACAATTAGAAACATTTTCAAAGTAGAAAAAATACTGATGCACAGAAGCAAACACACAAAGGCTAGTGAATACACGAGATAAAACAAGCAATGTATGTTTTTTGTTAATTACATAACCTATAGTAACATAATAAATAATCTAAGTTTGAAGTGATTTGTTGTTCAAAAATGTATTTCAAATACTAGACAATGTGTAAGGGTTCAGCCGGCCCCGCCTGCTGCCGGCAGAGGGCAACGGCGGCAGGGTGTCCAGCCTGCGCCGCCTGCTGCCAGCAGAGGGCGACGGCGGCAGGGTGTCCAGCCTGCGCCGCCAGCTGCCAGCAGAGGGCGACGGCGGCACAGGGACATAACTTCAGTGAACTCCAATTCCCAGAAGTCCGCGGGCTGATTAGGCCCAACGCGACACACCTGCGGACTCCTCTACTTAAGGTCAAGGCAAACAGTGGTGTTTGTCACACCTTTGTAGAGGGGTGACCGGTACGGTACTTAGTGAAAGAAAAGGACAGGACAGGACAGGACAGGACAGGACAGGACAGGACAGGACAGGAACTTCCCCAAAACTAAAAAAGAACAAGAAAAGAGGGCTGAGAGAAGAAACTGCCCCAAAGCTAAAAAAGAAAAGAGGGCTGAGAAAAGAAACTACCCCAAAACTAAAAAAGAAAAGAAATTGCCCCAAAACTAAAAAAGAAAAGAAAAGAGGGCTGAAAAAAGAAACTGTCCCAAAGTTACTTAAAGGAAAAAAAAAAAAGTCTGCTTTCCCTTCGTTCTTGGAGTGGAAGTGTTTTTTGTTTTCCTATTATCTGTCCTTTCGCCTCTCTAGTTCAGCCTTTGTTTGAGCACGCTGCTCTCAGCGTCTCTTTTGTGTGCCGATCAGTACAGCGCCGGTTCGAACCTGGCTTTGGCTCACCTCATATGCATGTTTCAGACTCACAACCTAGTGCCACAAGTTACCACCTAGTTTCCATTTCTGCACTTGGGTCTGCCTCCCCGCCGTCCCGTAACACAATGACAGTTATTCAGTGACCTTAATAATAATAATAATAATAATAATAATAATAATAATAATAATAATAATAATAATAATAATACTTTTTCAAAATACTCGTTCTAAAGTAAAAACTTACCATTTATAAACATTCCTAAAATTCTACATCGCTTCCTGATGCCTGAGAAAAGAGGAAAAGCATTCAGCTATCATTTACTTCTTTAACTGACTTCCAGATAAGTTTTTGTGTTACACAGTACAACAAATCCCTTTACCTGACAATCTGGAGCAACACCACAATCAGCATTTCCTGAAGTTCCCTCTGCAGACTGAATGTGCTCTGTCTAATTGGAAGTTGTTCCACTGTAAGCAGGCACAGAACCCCAATAACAGCTGGTCTGGAACAGAACTACAACTGCAAGATCTGAAATCAACAAAGGTTTTGTTCTAACAAACATTAAGAAACCCATAATCAATAATAACCTACTTACGGGTAGAACTAATGTAAAGCACTCCTGACAATGAACACTCAGCCAGGAAATATCACCTCAGGTGAACAACCACAGCACCTGTTTTAAACTGTTTTCTTCTGGTTTTACTGACTTACACAGAAGGGTGATGTGTGCACATAAGAGGACTTAACACTGCTGTCAAGACAATGCACTAGCTCCGAGCTAACGTTAGTTAACTACTCTGAACATTTAGCTAAAAGGAATGTTAGTTAACATTATTCATGACGAATTAGCAACGAAGGACAACATAAATAAACCTTGAACTGATTGACCATTTCATTAATCTAGCTAGCCTGTGCTTTAAGTGTTAGCTATAGTTATAACTTCATTTTCCATACGGGAACAATAATTAAAAATAGTTAATCTCACTGAACTAAACTTGCACGTCACAAATTATGTTAATGTATGTACATGTGATTGTTTAAGTATATCACTTATTCTCTTGTTCTTTGTCTTCTTAAAGAGACATTGTCTTCTCTTCAGCCCTAGCTGCTGGCGTGTCCATTTGAGAATGATGAACTTGGGTGGGAAAATATGTTAAATGAGGGTTTTAACCCTTACAGCGAGTGTCAGCTGTTTTCTGTAAATTCAGTAATGGGCCACTTATGACATGCCAGACTTGGGCCAAAAGTACTGAGACACAAATCACCGAGCATTGGTCTGTCACAGCATTAAGGTGCGGCCCTCTTCCTTCATCCACACTGTTGGACCACAACGTTTACGCCAGAATTGGCCCTTAAAAGTAAATGAGTTAAAACCATACACAGCTGTTCAGCATCAGGCCCAATTCTGGCCCGCACTACTTTCTTGTTTTATTGCCATTTCACATACAGACCCAGTTTTTTTGGAATTGGGTTTGTACTTGATGCTGCCAGTTTACTTTTTCTTTGTTGTAGTTTTATATATTTATTTCATTTTGTCATGAGCCTAAATCAACAGTGAACTTGCCAAGAACTCCATATCTAATCATTTTTGGTAAGAAATTGACATCCAGTGTCTGAAACTGGACGGCTAAAGTGGAGTTTCAGAGTTGCCAGTTTATTAGGTATGTATTTACACTCATTTTCCATTTTATTAGCTCCACCAAACATATCATCACTGCCAGAATAAAGCCTCGTATCTCCTTTTTTATTTATATTTTTATTTTTTTTCAATTATTATTTAGAAATTGATAACACCAGTCAACTTTGCATAGTCAATTTCAAGAGTAATGGACCAGTAGAAATGTTCCAAAATTACTGGGAAAAATATTTTCCATTAATTTTCACGTGTGTGTGTGTGTGTGTGTGTGTGTGTGTGTGTGTGTGTGTGTGTGTGTGTGGGGTGTTTTTTTTCTTTTTTTTTTCCTTAAAATTACCATTTTTGGAGAAGGTTTTGTCCCGAGACCAACAATGCAATAATGCAACAATCCAATAAATGCATGGAGGTCTTTTTCATTGATGAATGGGGTTGGGGATGATTGCTATACTGTACAGAAATATATTGTAGCTAAGTATGCCTGTGGTGGGTTTACCTGTTTATTATTTTTTATTTTTTATTTTTTTTGCTTAATTTTCTGCAAGAAAGTTTGACTTTTAATCCACTTTTTAAGAAAACCTGATTTGATAATGTCATCATTTTTGATTGTTTGGTTAGCTTCATGTTGAAAATGAAGGAAAAATGTCTGACTAATTTACAGTGATCACTATTGGTGAATATATTTTGAAGAAATCCATTGTACTTTTAAATGTGTAGGCCTGTCATGATTGGAGGCTGTAGGCTGGTAGTAAATTGGCTAGTTTTAAATAAGGCTGAGAATTAATAGCCACATAGCAGCTCTCTGGGACAGTTCTAGTATGGACTGCTTACAAATCCAGGCCACTTGTGTTTAATTTGCAGTCCAGATTAGGCCCAGTTGTGTGCTTCACTTTTGGCTGACACATGGCCCTAATCTGGTGTGTACATGGGCCACGTCTAGCAGCCAGGAGCTTTCATAAATGTGTGTAAAGACAGACTGCAAGGCTAGATGCTTGATTTTATACGTGTCAGAGACTAAAAGAAATGCCTAAATTCAATGGTTAAGAGTGTATAGCAATATCTATGTTCCTATAGTGTAGATATAGATAGATAAACACACTTTATTATTGTTTATTGTAGACATTCTCCTCAAGAAAACCTAACTTTAGCATGTAAAGTGCTCACGTTCCCTTGAGTTGGGGCCACACAATATTTATTAAAACACTGCCTGGTGTAGATGATCAGGATCCCAGCAGATGGTGCTGTTTAATGTCACTAGATTATACCAGCTAGATTTTACTGGTTAGATTAAATTACCTTTTAATCATGGAAGATTCTGTATTATTTATGTTTTTGGGCATGTGTTTATGCATCAGTTGATTCTGCTGACCCACACATCCCTGCTTCCCTAAAACAAAACTAAAGAAAAGAAAGTAAAACATTCAGTTTGTCTGTACAGAAGGAGAGCAGAGTTTCCAGCACAGCAGAATACAAATACCAGCATTTTGATTTCAGAAGGTAAGTTTATTGCTGCTTATAGCCTCATAAGCAGGATAAAGGTATTTTAGGTGAAAAGTTTAATTGTTTGTTTTGACCAGCTTTAACCAAATGTCGAACTGTTAATTAAAATGGTGACCGTGAAGCTCGACAGTTTCAAATAGTCAGTAAAGAGTACAGACTAAATTAACCACGACCGTTTCACGTAAATGATGTTACAGTAATATTTATTTTTAGTAATGACAGTTTTTTAGTATTAGAAGTGGCACTGGGTTTGTACTGATTTTACATGACCAATAAAGACTTGAGTTGTCTTCTTGGCAGAGAGGAATGAGACCTTTTTTATTTTACTAAAGTCATCTATTAGTACAAGTGATGATCATGAATTAATAAGAGCTTGAAAATGTGACAATTTAGTAAATATATAAATAAAATAAAAACTAAGTAGTGGTTATGTTGCTCTGACTGTCTCAGGTCAGTTAGTATGTTTATCAATGGATATCAATCCATTTAGTCTGTGGATAAACTGAGTCAGCTGGCATTCAACCATATACAGTCTAATGTAATTCATTAAGTCTTGATTGGTGATACAGCTCCAATTCCAAAAAAGTTGGGACGCCATGTAAAATGTAATTAAATGTAAATAAGAATGCAGAATGCAATGATCTGTAAATCTCAGACCCATATTTTATTCATAATAGAACATAACACATCAGATGTTGAAAGTGAGACATTTTACCATTTCATGAAACTCATTTAGAGCTTGATGGCAGCAACACATCTCAGAAAAATTGGGACCGTGTCTAACATTGCGTACCATCCCCTCTTCTTTTAACAACAGTCTGTAAACGTCTGGGAAGTGAGGAGACCAGTTGCTGGAGTTTTAGGAGAGGAATGTTGTCCCATTCTTGTCTGATGTAGGATTCTAGCTGCTCCACAGTTCTAGGTCTTCTTTGGGTCTTCTTTGCCAGATTTATCATTTCAAAATGCAGCAAATGTTTTCTATTGATGAAAGGTCTGGACTGCAGGCAGGTCAGTTCAGCACCTGGACTCTTCTTCTGTGAAGCCATGCTGTTGTGATGGATGCAGTATGTGGTTTAGCATTGTCTTGTGTTAGTTTGTGGTTTAGCATTGTCTTGCTGAAATATGCAAGGCCTTCCCTGAAAGAGACGCTGTCTGGATGGCAGCATATGTTGTTCTAAAACCTCTATATACTGTTCAGCATTGATAGAGCCTTTCCAGATGTGTAAGCTGCCCACGCCATAGACACTAATGCAACCCCAGACCATCAGAGATGCAGGCTTTGAACTGTGTGCTGATAACAAGCTGGATGGTCCCTCTTCTCCTGAGTCTGCAGGACAAGGCATCTGTGGTTTCCAAAAAGAATTTCAAATTTCAAATAATCTGATCACAGAACGGTTTTCCATTTTACCTCAGTCCATTTTAAATGAGCTTTGGCCCAGAGAAGATGACAGCGTTTCCAGATTGTGTTGACATGGCTTTTTCTTTGCATGATACAGCTTTAACTTTTGCATTTGTGGATTGTACGGCAAACTGTGTTCACAGACAATGAATTTCTGAGAGTGATCCTGAGCCCATACAGTGATTTCCAGTAAAGAATCATGCCAGTTTTCAGTGCAGTGCCCCCTGAGGGTCCAAAGATCACAAGCATCCAATACTGACTGACAGCCTTGTTCCTTGCGTACAGGGATTTCTCCAGATTCTCTGAATCTTTTGATATGTACTGTAGATGGTGGGATACTCAGTCTTTGCAAATTAGTTCTTCACGTTGAACATTTTTCTGAAATTATTCAATAATTTTTAGATGCAGTTTTTCACAGATTAGTGAACCTTTATATCCAGTCATGTGAGTTAGTTGTAACTTGATCCTCCAGGTGTTTTTTGTTAGTACCACTTACTTTTCCAGCCTTTTGTTGAGATGCGTTGCTGCAATCAAGTCTCTAAATGAGTTATTGTTTTTCATGAAATGGTAAAATGTCTCACTTTCAACATCTGATGTTCTATTATGAATAAAATATGGGTCTAATGAGATTTGTAAATCATTGCATTCTGTTTTTATTTACATTTATTTATATTTTACAGAGCGTTCCAACTTTTTTGGAATTGGTGTTATAACATTTCTGACAAATGTAGAATAAGGCTTACAAATAAATCTACTCCTAAACTATTGCTGATTTTCAGTGGTGTAACATAATTGAAAATGAAACATTTTTGGTTCTTTTTTCATTCTTATCATTTCAATCTTTGTAAACAGAGCGGTTATTGAAATTGTAATACAAAAATCTTAATTCTGGACTACAAGAACAATCAGATTTAGGCTAGTCTTGTTTGTGTAAGATTAACTAATTGTCAGTGCCTTAAGGTTGCACAGAAATAAAAATGATGACTCTGCGGATCACGAGCTCTGTGGGTAAAAGACGAGATCACGAGAACTCAAGTCTGGCAGCTGATTTCATATATCTGATCGCTGCCAACAGGAACTGAGGTTAAACTGGCTTTGTTTGTAGGGGTGATGAGGGGCTTCCCCTTCAGGATGCACTGCAATGAGAAACAGGCTAAAGTGGGCTGCTGAAAAGGCTCAACTTCATAAAGCAAAGAGGGAACAACACGTCACAGTTCTGTGCAGTCCCTGTTGATTGAAGCTTAGTGTGATTTTGTGATTCATTTTTTACCATTCAATAATTATGACTAAACAAAGGTCTCTCAGGTTTTTTTCTCTGAAATATGAAATGCTTGTTTTGCACTGCATTCTTAATGAAAATGGTTCTTCAAGGGTTCTTTGGTAAAGACAATGGTTCTATATAGAACCACAAAGCATTCGAAGAACTATTTGCATGCTTAAATGTTTCTTTGCTTGGTGAAATGGTTCTTTGGATTGATAGAGAATGTGTTCTGTGTAGCACCAAAAAGGGTTTTTGTTACAATGTCAAGCTTGTAACAACAGAAGAACCATTTTTGGTGCTGTATAGAACCCTTTTCGAAAAGGTTGTACATAGAAGAACCATCCACTACACATTCTCCATCAATCTGAAGAGCTGTTGTTCTATGTAGAACCATGAACACTTAAAATACCAAATGTTTTTGAGTGTTCATGGTTCTATGTAGAACTAATTGTCTTTACTAAAGAACACAATATATATATATTTTTTTTGTTTTTGGTTTTTTTTTAAACTGTGTTAGTAAACATAGTTCTATGTTAGGCATCATGTTTAATATTTACAATATGAAACTGTTAATTGTGCTTTATTAACTTAAACAGGGTTGGTTAAAATGCTGCACACCAGTGCAACACTGGTTTGTCTTATGCTTATTTAAGGAAACAGTGTGCTGGCATATCAATTCTAATGTACCCCTTTTGTACGTTGGTGAGAATAACCTGGATAAGTTTCCTGTTCAGCAGAAACAGTGATTACAGTAAATACTCAACTTATTTAAAATGTGTTTCTCTCAGCCTCACAGAAGAGGTGGCTGCTTCCTAAACGTACAGCTGTTTGTTTATGGGCAGTTTTACCTCATTCTCTCCTAAACATGATGAATCAGACATGTGAAACTGTCTGATTCATCATAAAGAATGAGGTAGAATTTCCCAGTGGTTAAGTTGACCCGCCCCCCCTCTAACTATGCACAATCAGTATCACAGCCATACATTTAGGAAGCACCCATCTCTTGCCAAGCCAGACCCATCCCCTGAAACCAGATATGTTGCAACATTTACTTTTGCTGATAAAGCAGATCAGTGGGCAGTCTGTCTGAAACTGGAACCATCATCAGCGGTTCTCCTTTTAAACATCTGTTTAGCAGAGTGGTTAGAAGAGGGGGGGAAAAAGCAGAAAAATCTGATGGCAACAGAATAAATTTCAGTGTTGATTGAAGTCAAAGGACCCATTTATGTACATACATAAAAACAATCTGAAAATAGTTGAGAAATATCAGATCATACAAGATATGGTATTTTATGTACATCAGACATCCAGACACAAGATCCCAGATAAGTAGAAATTCTATGAGAATAAAACACAGTTCATGCACTTTTAGTTGACTTAATTGATTTTGAATGAGCTGCTAGTTTAACTGCTAAGCTAAGCACTGCTACACGGCTGCTGCAGCCTCTTGTGCCACTTACAGACTTACTTTTATATTTCCGCATTTTCATTCTTGCAGCAAATTTATCATTTGCAACTAAGACGATCAGCTCCCAGTTAATGCCTATTTAATGCCAATTTAAACTCTGTGGACTGAAGCCGCCGAGAACTGATTAGGGTGTCTACAAATTACGATCTTCAAAGTCCGAGCATGACCTTACGATCCAATACAACCCTTTAACAGAGAGAACACACATGGCCAGTCAAGAGTTTGTAGAATGACCTCTGCTCATGATAATTGTTGATGAGGAGCTTCAAAAGCAGATTTCTACCACATTGATCTTTTGACGTTGGCATGAAAAACAACAGATTTTTAATAAACAAGTCAGATAAGGAAAAGTCTCAGGACAGAAATATAGTTTTAACTATATTAATCCTTTTGATCCAATGTACTGAATCATTCATTCTACATCAATTACTTGTTCCCCTGTGTTTTAGTCTCAGAGCTTTTAGTCTGTGTACCACTTTTTAAAAAAAATCACTTCAAAAATCACGCTTTTTTGTGTGGTGTTTTTTCCCTGGGGAGCAAAGCTTGATTTCTGAACATCAAGGTTTGAGTTCTCTAAAAGTGAGATCAGTGACTGTCTCTGTGTGACACAACATTTGAATCATCTATAATCTGTCTTTGTTTCTTAGAACTGAAGTTAAATTCTTGTTAAAAATCTTTACACTACTTAGTAATCCTTTGTATTCGGTTACAGCTACTTTTTATCAGGTAATCTGTAATGGAATACATTTTTAAAGTAACTCTCCCAACCCTGATAAAGATCAACACAGTGACCCCCTGGTCAGTACTGATGGTGCATGTGTGTGTCTGTAGGTCAGTCATGCAGTCCTGGAGTTCTGCCTTCTGTGTCCTGATCTTACTGATCACTACACTGACTACTGGTAAGTACAGTAAAAATGCTCTGTTGTTGGTCTTAATCAGTTTTCTCTGGTTGTGTTGTTTCAGTCAAATTGATTTAAGTACTTTCCCATTGGTTCCTGTATCATCTGTTTGCTTATTGTTTTAACTGTTTTCCTCTCCCTCTTCATGTTGTCTGGACTGCCTTTCATTGTGTGCCTTTCATCTGTTTTAAACTCCATAGTTAACCTCCTAGCCACACTGTTGTTGGCTGTTAGTGTAAGTTACCTTTTAACCTACTGCTGAGTGTAACAAGGACTCAGTAATTACTTAATGAAGTGGTGCAGATCAAACTTAAGCCTGTTACCTTTGCATTCTTAAATTAATGGAACAGGTGGTTGCTTAGGTATTTCTTTGTGGTTGATATAGTATCCCAGGTGGTTGCTAGGGTGTTGCTAGGCGTTTGGTATGGTATCCCAGGTGGTGGCAAGGTGGTTGCTATGGTATCACAGGTAGTTGCTAAGGTGTTGCTTGGTGGTTGTCATGGTATCCCAAGGTGGTTGCTAGGTGGCTGCCAGGCAGTTGTTATGGTATCCCATGTGGTTGCTAAATTGTTGTTTGGCAGTATACGAGGTGTTTTATTAAGTCATTCATAGGGAGTTGCCAAGCGGTAGCTACTTGCTGTTGAAAATGAATGGGAGTCTATGAGAGGAAGGAGGGATGGAAAAAAGACACATAGAGGAGTGCAGGTCAGAATGGCTGTGGATTAGAGTTTAGGGAACTGCCCTGAGTGAATACATGCATTTTGGTTTCTGTCAGTCAAACGAAAGTATCTGGCTTGTTAGTGGGCAAAAATGAATGGATGTAAATGGGAAGAACAAGGTATGAGAAAATGTGACCGAGGACTGCGTGTCAGTATGGCCATGCAGTAGAGTGTGAGGACCTGTCCAGAGTGAGTACATGCAGTTTGTTGGCTGTCGAGCAAATAAATAATTGGGCTTGGGTGGGGGGCTATGGGAAAAACAAGGGATGAGGAAAAAAAGACAAACAGACGGGTGCGGGTCAGAACAATATTGAATTTGTGCTTGGGTGCCTGCCATGAGATAGGATGTGCAAAAGACATACAGGACGGTAGATTTAGAACATGGTGAACTTATACAGGATGGTAGACGTAGAACATGATGAACACGTGCAGTGTTGGGTTCTGTTTCTACAGTGCAATGTTGGGTTTCTACAGTAAAATATTTGGTTCTGTTTCTACAGTGCAGGGTTGGGTTCTCTTTGTACAGTGCAGGAACACACACCCACTGTTTGCACACATGCTGAAAAGTATTGATTTGACATTTATGTAAAAAATACAAAGCACATTTATGTACAATGTACGATTTATGTCTGGATCTTTGTAAACAGTGGAAGCTCTACTGATTTAGTTATCTTTAGGGGCAGCACTGAATAAGATTTAATTATGTAGATGTTTTACTCTGGAGTGTATATTGTAGTTAATGCTGTTGTGATTTCAGTGGATTTTCAAAGCCAGTTCTTAACCGTCGTCTTATTCTGTGTTTCAGTGTCTGGAGCAGCTCCCACTGAAATAAAGGTGAAGCTTAATGACTCTGCGACTCTCCCCTGTAATGACAGATGTTCTGGTTTGGTCACGTGGTTCCAGAAATCTGGTATTGTTGTGGCTCAGTGTAACCAGACTTCATGCCTGTCAGTGAAGGATGGATTTGAGATGTTCTATGATCAGTACCTGAAGGGGAATAACTCTCTCATCATACCCGAAGCTGATACCAGTAAGATCAGCGAGTACACATGTCAGTGTGATCTTAAGACCATCAGTGCTGTGCAGCTTCACGTTGATGGTAAGTGTTCATTTGTTTTCTTTCATTAACATAAGAGCATTCCGTACAGTTTGGTATTCCGTACACTTGCAACTTTCCCTGTTCGCGTAATAAAAAACACTTTCTTGTCATTTATCGACGATACATCTGAGACACGGTTATATATCCTTGTTTCCATCAAAATGATTTGCAAGACCATCTAAGCTGGGTTTGGACATCAAATCTATGTAAATAGTGACCAAACCCCCCAGTGCAACACAATAACGGCGGGTGGGGAAACCTAGTGATGCCAATGTGAATGAGGTGATATGAATACATTTTAGCACATTTAAACATCATATTTAGCACCCCAACAAATATTTAACGTTCGGCTATCATCAAGAAATGCAGTATGTTTGATACTGAGCTGTTAACTAGGCTTTTTTTTTCATGTTAGCCTCATTCATTGCACATACTGTTCATATTAATTCACTTTTATAATCAGTATGTATATAATCATCGTTTATTTTTATGCAATTAGATTTCATAAAACTTCAAATTAAATGCAGGGATAACGCTGTACGGAAAACCACTCCTTCTGTGGAAGCTGGTGTATGGAATACTGACGACACAAACCGACGACAGAGATGACATTTTTTTCTAATTTCTTTAAACGTATTGGGTCAAATATGACCAATCAAAATGCATTTTGGTTGCTAGGCTACTGTACGGAATACTGTACTCCTACTAGTGAAATGAGTTGTGTGCTGTGCATTACTTCACATCTCCAGTCAGAAGCTGGTGTTCAGGAATTTTCTAACGGGGTCATTAATGATAGTTTAAAGTGTACTTAGATTATTTGATTGTCTAGGTGAGGGCAGTGTTCAATCACAGCAGTGTCTCTGTTCAGAATCCACATCTGTTTCTGCACAAGTAGTTTGATCAAGCCTGGAACACAGTACCTGATTTTTGAAGTCCTAACAGGTTATAAAAAGACTGGATTCTAATGCTTTTCGACTATTTTTGGGCAACTGAAATACTGGGGATCATATATGGAGTTAAAACACATTGTATTCATGAATTATGATTTGAAAGCATACATACATAGATCCTGAATATAAATTTATTTAAGTGCAAATATAAAAAGTGAGTGATTTTGGGGTTTTGGTGCATCCAGTTCCATTCTCAGATGTGCAAATTTGCATTTTGCCTATATTTTGTACTTTTCATTCATACAGATCTTGTACAAGTTTGAGTTTTGCTCTCTGCAAACTTTTGGCAATATTGTTGCACTGCTACCAGAATCACAGTCACACAGGGTCCCATGGAATCTGAACCTTACTTGTAAAGTCTGAACTGTAGCACCGTGTAAGATTCTTATTAGTGAAAACTGAAAGCTGGATCATTACTGAGTGAGGAGAATAAAAACAGTCTAAAATATGGTGAGCGTGTTCTGCCCTACACTGTTAGAAAAAAAGGTTCTGTGCAGGTACATTTTCCGTTCTTTAAGGTACAAACAATGTAAATGTTCCCTCAAAGGTACTACAGTTGTTTTAAGGTCTGATTGTGAACCTTAAATAAGTTTTTCCAGGTGAAAAGTTCATATTTGTTCCTTTTCATAACCGAATGTTTTAAACAGAACAGTAAAATAAAGTCCTGGAGACGAGACGGGGTGTGTGGAGTCAGTACAGCTTAGAACATATCATTTCAGTGGATTATGGTTCAGTTATGTTCCCTGACTGAAGGTACCGAGATGTACCCTTGAGGGAACCACCCCAGTGACAAGAGGGGCACTGACCCAGAGACAGTTTAGTAACTTTATTTCTGAGAGTCTGTAAAGCCTGAAATAATCATTTAAAAGTCAGAGGCGTCGGGTCGGGAGTTTTTCACACCATGTCGCACGTCTTTATGTCACACACACAGGCTCAAAAAGACAATCTGGTCTCAAATGATCTCAGTATCAACATTATACTGATGAAGATGTGATAACAATAGTAGATAATTCACTCACATCCTCAGAAGATTTGCCTTCAAGTTTTGCACTCTCAAATTTAAGACACACTCGGTTTTATATTCTAACATCTCTGTGTTTTTTTTTGTTTTTTCCAGCCAACGTTTTTCTTTCTCTTATTTTTTCCTCGGTACCATGTGGATCCATATGCTGGTCATATGCTAATCAAAAATCTCATGACTTCACTAAATATAGTGGCCACTTTTGGTGCGTTCCTAAAGTGCATGTGTGCTTGTAACACAGAGGGGCTTATTGGGGGTTCTTTCACATAAACAGTTTGGCCAAGTAAAATTTGAACCCTGGGAGATCTCATCCCTCATCTAGACTGCATCTGAACAGTGATGTTCAAAGTTTCATGTGAACATTACCTGGTCAGTAAATCTGTTATTTACATACATCAATTATGTTTATGGAGCAGTAGCCACACCAGGAGTTACTCATGAAAATCAATGTTTTAATCTCCTCCTCTGTCTCTGTTAGCTGTTCCTTCAGTAAAGGCGGATCTTCATGGGAATGCTACTCTGTACTGCTCTGTGGATTGTTCTGGTTTGGCTACATGGTTCAGAACCAGATATCCCAGTGATGTTGTGGCTCAGTGTGATCAGACTTCATGTCAGTCAGTAAAAGCTGGATATCAGATGATCTATGCTCAGTACCTGAAGGGGAATCTCTCTCTCTACATCACTGACGCTGATTTCAGTATGAGAGGATTGTACACATGTGAGTGTGATGGGACAGTCATCAGAGATGTGGAATTCAGCATTAATGGTAAGTCTGTTCATCTGTTTTCTTCACTGACCGTTACTGACAGAACTCCAGTGATTCATATGCAGTGCTTTATATCTGCTTTATACCCAACTAGAGCAAAGTTTCTGATTATGTTTCTCCTCTTAGCTCTGAACTCTACACTTCAGATTAAGTCTGGTGAATCTCTGGTGCTGGATTTGGAAATACCAGATCCAGTAGAGGTGCTTCATGACAGCACAGGAGCAGACGGTTTTTCCAGTGGTCAGATCTGTACAGTGAATGGACGCTCAGTACAGTGCAGTGATGATTATAAACAGAGAGTGTTGTTCTCACCTGCTCTTGAGGTGAAAGGAATGAATCTGTCTCATAGTGGAGTTTACACCATCCGGGATGCCAGAACTAAGGAGGACATTCATGTCTACACAGTGACCGTCAGAGGTATGAATTTAGTGTGATTATTAAAGATTCAGAAGATCTTTATATAAACAGAAGACTGTTTATGACTGGTGGTGACGTGTAGGTTATTTTGGGAGGGTAGCGGCAGCTGTTAGCAGTGGAGGACTGAATTAAATGCTTTCTGTTCAGGAAAATGCTTGACTATGAATGCTACAGTTTAAAATAGCAGTCAAAAAAAAAACATCACAGATGGTAAACAAATTAAAGGAAATATATTTATGACATCACCATTCACTCATTTAGTTCAACATATTATATTTATGCTTTAACATTAATTTTGAAAAACTTCGTTATCCTTTGAACAGAACAGAATTTATTTTTTTGTAAGGTTAGTGCTTTCAAATCCACGTGTATGAAACAATTAAAAATAAAAAAAGAACCAAAAAGGTTTTCATGGGGTTAACTTTGGAGAACCATGCATGGTAGCCAAATAAAAAAAAGACTTTTGTAAAATATCGCAGCTCATTTGTGTCTCAGTGCCATGTTTGGGTAAGATATTAGGACTGTTTAAATGAAAGAATAAAAACACTTGCAGCACTATGAGGTTCTTGTCTTGTGTGCACGCAGAACTGTGAAGAAGCTGCTCTGGTGTGCTCATGTGTGAAGGGGGTCACAGCTAAAATAGACTGAGAACCACCATTTAAAGGAATTGTACACTACTGTACACTTTTTTATTGTGTTATCAATTAAAACTAACACTGTTGCGAATCTTTGTGGTGTTTGTTTTGTAGATGATCCAGATCCGCCTGGAGAACAGAAGATTGTTTCGTCAGTGCTGAAGTTGGCAGGGATAGTGGTGGGGACTGCAGTTATTACTATTGTAATATGGTCTGTGATTGTAGGAATATGTATGAAGAAAACGAGGCTGTGTGGAGGATGTTTTAAGATTGATAATGTTGCAGGAAATGAAGAGGACAATCAGGATGCAGAAAAAGAGAACATCCTGACACCTTACCAACAGTAAACTGTAACTCTGAGACTGTGTCTCGATTCGCTTCCTAGAGAACATTCGTCCAAATGCAGCATTAAATTTGATTGCATTGGGAAGTTGAAGCTAGGAGAACATGCATTTTGTCAAGTGTAGGTGTTCTGTAAATTCCACTTCCATCACCCTAAACAAAATGTTGTATATTGTATAATGTATGTTGTTTACTGTATTTGTATGTTTGTGTGTATTGTGCTACAACTGAATTATATCTTGACGCATCACATACAGTTACCACTGACACGCCCTGGCAAATAAAACAATCAATCAATAAAAGACTCAATGCACACACTAGGAAGGGGTGTCCAAACATAGTGTATTACTCTGATCTGATCTTAATATGTTTGTGTTTTTGTAGTTAATCCAGACTGTTTTTTATCACAATTAGCCATATTGAAAATGAGCAGATGAGCTTTTAATTTGCTGTAATGTGTACAGATACGATAGCACAAAGCATGATGCTACAGGTTACTCTCCCTAATATTAGATGTTTGGTAGGGAAGCCTGAATCCCAGTTGATCTGTCTGTTGGGATTATGCCAAGTGATGGTGGAGACATGAAACACATTCTTCATGTTATATGAAGAGAGTATAAGAAGATACGTGTAAATCGAGAAAATGACCTCAGACCCCAGAGGGTTAAGTTTGGAAAGATGGAAGAGTTGATGTGGTAGTCTTTGCATAAATGTACAGGGTGGAGACATTAAATACTGACATGGGTTTTCCATTCACCTCTCTTTTGTGAATTTTGAAATGCAGTGCATTCTCTGGTGGGCTTTCTCTGTGATGGATTGGATGTTGGTGTCCCACTTCAGGTCCCTAGTAATTGTTGTTCCCAGGAACAACTCTTGAAGTCCACCATCATCTCCACTGTTTTGAGTGTACCTCAAGTTGTGACTGCTCCAGAAGACCAGTTCTTCAACCATTATCACGATGAGACCATGACTGTAGTGTCATCTGCAAACTTCAGGATTTTGACAGAGGCGTCTGTGGAGGTGCAGTCATAAGTGTACAGTGAGAAGAGCAGTGGAGAGAGCACACCAGTATTGATTATAGTCTATGACGCATTTGACCATTAGACTATCAAATATGAGTAAACTAGCTAGCTAGGCAACTTAATGAGTTAACCTGGTTTTGACCAGCGGCAGACAATTCAATTCAAGACTACATGTGTCAATGCAGGACTACATGTGTCAATGCAGGAGAACGGCTGCTGCAGATTTAGAGTCATCCTTACACACTGAGGTGATCCATGTAGTGACACTGTTGTGGAAATTTGTATATGAAGCACAGGCTGTCACATCTATCATTATATACTCGACTCTGCACCCCAGATAAAGATAATTGCGACTACTAGTTTCTAAATCATTTCAGTTTCACTGTCCTCATCCACCTTAATGAACCTGCTTTATTTCTAGCACAAAAGGGACAAAAACTACATATCATTTTGTACAAAATGCACTCAGAAAAAATAAATCATACACAGTCTGTTAAGCTGCTAATATACATTTTATTTCATGCATTCTCATCTGATTTATGAGCTACTAGTCTGAAATGTAGCCGTCAGCATTCACCCAACGTTGTTGTGACTCTGATAAGCACAGCAATACAAGGCAAGCATAGAAGCAAAAATAAGTCTTGGTATTTATTTAATGTAAGTCACACTTTTGGAACAGCTGGCTAATGCAATTAAAATTGCATGTAAACATACATGCGTAATCAAAGGCTGTACATTTGGAGGGAGGTTTTTTGGAGAGAAATTTTGGGTACACTGGAGGTTTGGACTGAATTTCCACACCTCAGTTTAAATTGAGATGAATACAGTGACAAATTGGAAATTTCTGGAAAAATGGTATATGTAATGACATATATAGATGTAATGGTAGTTTCTGACTTTTCTCAGTACTTCTACTGGTACTGTTTCTGGTACTTCTTTCATTAACCAAATACACACAGATAATGAAGCAGGGGAAACCAGTCCTGGTCCTGGAGATCTACTACCTGTAGAGCTGGGACCACCTGTAATCAAACACCCCTGATCCAGGTAATGAAGGCCTTCAGAGGCATCTGAATATCAGAGCCTGGTGTGTTTAATCTGAACTTTTCAAGGGTGGTTGATCTCCAGGACCAGGACTGAACACCACAGCACTATAGAGTTAAACAGATAGATATAAACAGATACAGAACCATTAAAGCACCAGCAGTTGGTTGCACCACCAGGTCTTAACTTAGAGAGTCTTAACCGCTAGGTCATTGTGCCTAAAAGTGTTTTTAAAGGAGAACTTTTTCAACTGAGCTAACATTAACACCATGTATGCTAGCAGCTAGAAAATGAGTGTTTTTTACACAAATTTTTTTGCGTTTTTTCTGTGTTTTGTGAGGACAGGCAAAATGCAGCTTTTTGAAAATGCTGCCATCACATTGTTTATGTGCTTATGCCTGTTGCTGTTCTCATTTATTAAGCATGCAGAACTTCATGTCATTGCTCATGATTGATGACTGTTGTCATCTCAAACAGTTTAGTTTTTCATTAAACTGTAGAGCAGAGGCATCAGAATCTAGTGATCTGTGCATAGATGATCATTAACCCTAACTCCATAATTCAAATGTGGTGAAAAGCTAAAAACAGACTTCTCTACCTGATTCAGAAACAGTGGCGTAGTCGTCGGCTTTTCATTTTTTTGTGTGTGTGGAATTTGAATCTCTGCAAAATTTTGATGTAGAGGTCTGATGGCCTGCAAGTCAAAGCATACAATCTTCTACATTTTGTGCAGTAAGAGGACCTATGATGATTGCTCTAAATGTGCAGGACAGGACCAGGTTTGGTGAACACTGATCTAGACTGTTTGCACTACTTCTAAAACTCGTTTTTATTTTGTTTTTAAAGCTGCTGTAAGATTATTTTAGTTAAAACTGAAAGCAGTATCATTACTGACTGAGGAGAATGTAAACAGAGAATGTAAACAGGCTAAAATATGGTGAGTGTGTTCTGCTGTGAGTCGCCCTGTAAAGCCTGAAATAATCATTTAAAAGTCAGAGGCATTGAATTTTTCACACCACGTCGTACGTCTTTACGTGTTAATGTCACCCACACAGACTCTAAAAGAAGGTCTGGCTCGATGTTTCGGCCTCAAATGATCTCAAAATCAACATCATACTGATGATGTTACGACTGTAGTAGATAATTCCCTCACATCCTCAGAAGACGCTCCTTCACCAAGTTTAGACTGAGTTCTGAAATTTAAGACACATTTGTTTTTATATTTTAACACTTTTTTTTTTCTCTGATCAAAAACTGGAAGTGCCACTTTGGTGGCTGAAATTCCAGTGCATTCCTAAAGTGCAAGGGGGCTTAAGTGTATTCGGAACACAGGTGGGCTTATTGGGGCTCTTGCACATGTGTGGCCATTAACTAATCAATAAATCTATGATTCATATACATCTTTCATGTTTACTGGAGACTCCGAATCTTGACCAAAAAAACTTGCCACAGAGCAGAAGAGTCTCCTGTCTATCAAACTGCTCATTTTTATTTTGTAAACTACTAATGAAATCTAATCATGAAAATAAATGGTTTTTTTTGTTTTTTACCCGATTTTCTCCCCAGTTTGGTCGTCTCCAATTCCACCCGCTAGTTAGGACTCCCCCAATCACACGATGCTATCAACGCTAGGAGGGTGAAGGCTAACACAGGCTTCCTCCGAGACCTGTGAAACCAACCACCGCTTCTTTTCGAACTGCCGCTCACGCAACGTCACTGGACAGCCGAACGCGCTCGGAGGAAAGCGCCAACCGCCAGATCTGTTACGTCAGCTAACAGACGCCTGCGCTGACTAGCATCGCGCTGAGTGATGGGGGGAGAAGGAGGGGCCATCCCACCCACCCAGCGAGAGCGAGGCCAATTGTGCTCTCTTGGACTCCCGGCTACGGATGGCTGTAGCATCACCAGGGATCGAACTCGCGATCTCCTGATGACAGGGCCAACGCTTAGACGGTTGCGCCACTCGGGAGCGAAAATAAATGTTTTAATCTCTTCCACTCTCAATTTTAGTTGAAGTATCAGTATTATCGGAGGTTCATGGGAATGCTACTCTGCCCTGCTTTGGGGACTGTTCTGGTTTGGCTACATGGATCAGAAGTGAAAACTGCAGCAATGTGATCAGACTTCATGCAGATCAAAGGAGGGATATCAGATGATCTATGATCAGTACCTTAAGGGGAATCTCTCTCTCACCATCACTGATGCTGATTTCAGTATGAGAGGATTGTTCATGTCAGTGTGATGGAACAGACCTCAGAGATGCAGCCCTTGCCCTTTTTCGTAAGTCTGTTCATCAGTTTCCTTCATCAATGATTACTGATAGAACTACATTGTTGTATATGCATTGCTTTACATTGGATTTATATCTAACTAAAGTTCCTGATTATGTTTCTCTTCTTAGCTGCAGTTTCTACAGTTCAGATAAGGTCCAGTGAGTCTCTGGTGCTGGATTTAGATACACCAGATCCAGTGGAGGTGCTTTATGAGAGCACAGGTTCAGGTGGTTCTTCTAGTGGTCAGATCTGTACAGTGGATGGACGCTCACTACAGTGTAATGGTGGTTATAAAAGGAGAGTGGCAGTTGTTCTTGAGCTGAAACAAGTGAATCTGTCTGATAGTGGAGTTTATACCATCCAGCATGCCAGCACTAAGAAGGACATTCATGAGTACACAGTGACCGTCAGAGGTATGAATATATTGTGATTATTACAGATTCAGTGTTTTTTCTGAAGAGTGTTTATTACTGGTGGTGATGTGTAGGTTAATTTGTGAGGGCAGCAGCCGTTAGCAGAGTGGGACTGAGATAAATGCTTTCTGTAAATATTCCATTTTTACATCTTTTAGCAGAAATCACTATTCAGGAAACTGCTGCACCAGGAGTGCTACAGTTTAACATAATAACAGGCAAAAAACATCACAGTTACACAGTGTAACAGTCTTAAATGGGTGGTAAAAAAATTAAAGTAACATTTTCTATGAAGTATGAACATTCACTCATTTATTTCAAATACATTTTGAACAATATTTTACCTTTTGAATAAAACCTTT